AGAGCTGAACTGCTTCTCTCTCGGAGACAGCACTGCTTCCACCTGCTGGCTTTTCTCATTGACTTTGTGGGTGCCGGCCCCCGCAATTATATTATTGTGGGTGCCAAGCCACCTATGGCTCACTGGAGTTGGCTCCTATGTGCACTTGTGTGCATGACTTAATGATGCTGAAAGCATAGCATTCCACTACATGACCACATATAGCACAAAACTATATCATATCAAGGACGCGGGTGGCGCTGTGGGTTAAACCACAGAGCCTAGGACTTGCCGATCAGAAGGTCGGCAGTTCGAATCCCCGTGATGGGGTGAGCTCCTGTTGCTTGGCCCCTGCTCCTGCCAACCTAGCAGTTCGAAAGCACGTCAAAGTGCAAGTAGATAAATAGGTACCGCTCTGGCGGGAAGGTAAACAGCATTTCCATGCGCTGCTCTGGTTCGCCAGAAGCGGCTTACTCATGCTGGCCATATGACCTGGAAGCTGTACGTCAGCTCCCTCGGCCAGTAAAGCAAGATGAGCGCCGCAACTCAGAGTCGGCCATGACTGGACCTAGTGGTCAGGGGTCCCTTTACCTTTATATCATATCAATACAAATTTATTACCTATGTGACAGGAGGAGAAAGACACAGGCCATGGTGATATGTGGTTTGTTTTTCTTCTTATTATGTATTTTGTGTTCTCATTTTGTATTTTTATGTTATGAACTGCCCTCTGTGATCTTCAGTTGAAGGGCAGTATACACATTTTAATAACAGCAGCAGCAGCAACAACAACAACCACAATTTGCAAAAGAACTCCATGGGAATTCTCGGGGAGACCTGATTACTTTAGGTTCCAGCTCTTTGGCAGTGGCTTTCAGCTTGTTGGAAGGAACAGATACTTTTGCAACTGCAGTGTGTGGAAGGCTCATGAAAGCCCTCGCTGCTACAGCCAACTGTTTGAACAGAATAAATGCTACCCTAGCCTGACCTGCGGCACAACATGTCACAAGGGTGACATCAATGTTTGTCTCCCGCTCCACCCAACAATTATAAGAAATCATATCAGCGGCCTCAAATGGAAAAAGAGGGGGCAAGAGAAGCAGAGAGGTTTCCAAAAGAGGGGTGGGCGGGGAATTCTCTCACAATATTTCCCTCATCCAACAATGAGTCCACAGAAGACTCTTGACTGCTGTTTTGATTAATTCTGGAGTAATTCAGATGGAAGTCAGAAGATAGGCTGGGGCTGTGATTTGGGGACAGGAGAAGGATTAGCTCCAACATCAGACAATCTGGGATGAAGGTCACTTGTTCACTATTTGGCATAGGGTCTGAAACCCTATGCTTGGAAAACTTGGAATTGCAGCCACTCCCCTTTGCAGGATTCAATGGCTACTCCCAACAACCTCACGACCATTATCCATAATGATAATAATAATATTTCCTACCTGCTCTTCACTGTGAGGTCCCAGGGCAAGTTATAACAATGGGAAAATGCAATATTAAAAAGAGATTACAAACCAGATAACAGGGTGGGTCTTAAAATATATATCTCAGGTGTTCAAGGCCAGGTAAAGAGGAGCATCTTCAGATGAAAAACTACACCGCGAAGGTACCAGGTTCACCTCTGTACAGAGGGGATTTCACAGCTTAGCGGCTACTGCAGAGAACGTCCTTTTCCAGACTGCCAACCCCTGAATTTCTGAGGGTGATGGGACTACCAAGCGAGTCCCCTCTTTAGGGATGGTGATGGGCTTTCAGATATTTGGGGCATAAGTCATTTAGGGTTTCACTTAGAGTTCCCTGGGAAAAGAAACTTGGTTGTTAAAGCACTCTGAGAACTGTAGGTCTGTGAGAGGAACAGAAAACTCTTAACGATACACAACATCCATAAAGAACTACGGTTCCCAGTATTCTTGGCAGGAAGCCACGCCTATTTATTTATTTATTTAAAAAAACAATTATTCATTTTATAACACAAATAAAGAACACAAACAGTAAAACAAACAATACAAACATATCCTTATTTTTCTAAACATTATTAAGTGGGCTTCCCCAAGTCCCATCTATCTGATTTTCATTTTACTTCATCTTTAGCAGTTTACATATATCATATTTTCTAACCATCTTTTTAATCACACTTAAAATAACTTCACAGTTTATCACTTACAAATAATACTATTTTAAAATACACTATCTTCTAACCCTACAGCCTATATCCACTTGAAAGCCTTGCCTATTTAAAGTGGTAGGAGATTGCTTTAAATGTATGGCATGGCTGCAACTCAGGGTTGCTTCCTATTGGACGGTTAAGTCCAATCAAAGGCGACAATAGTGTTCTGGCACTCATCTCTCTTGCAGGCCAGGGGAGCCGGCGTTTGTCCACAGACAGCTTTCTGGGTCATGTGGCCAGCATGACTAAAACGCTTCTGAAGCAACGGAACACTGTAACGGAAGCCAGAGTGCACGGAAACACCATTTACTTCCTGCTGCAGCAGTACCTATTTATCTACATTCGCTGGTGTGTTTTCGAACTGCTAGGTTGGTAGGAGCTGGGACAGAGCAATGGGAGCTCACCACTGCAGAGTGGATTCAAACTGCCGACCATCTGATCGGCAAGCCCAGGTGGTCAGTGGTTTAGACCACAGCACCACCTGCGTCCCACTGTATTGACAATTACACAAGCATGAAGCCATGGGTATAGAGGTCTGGGGTAGTGTAGATACATGAGTTCCCAGGTTCATTTTCTGCTGTCTTCCATTGAAAGAACCAGTTAGAAGGTTGCATGAAAGACTTCTGCTGAACAGCAATTTGCTAATCAGAGCAGCCAAATGCTGACCTAGCTGGATGATAGTCTGCCCTGGCATTAATCACTTTTCCTGTGTTCCTCTCTGCGCATTTAATTATGAGCTGTTGTTTTGGAGAGCATTGCATTACTAAGGCCAACTGGTTTATCCATCACAGAATTCTGGCAATGGAAGTTTCTGAGGTGCCGGCTCATAGTCTCTAAAAGAATCTTGAGGAACATCACCCAGCAATTGTGTGGGATCCCTGGAGTTCCTAGGAGAGCAGGGCTGAGATGAGACTTAGAAGTTCTGCAGCAGAAGCTCAGTGGCTTCTCAGTTGACAAATGGGATGAGAGACTGCATGCCCGAGGGAACAAAGCTTGAAAACAATAGATGCAGCTCATCTAAGGAGCATTGGATGCGGACCGTTTCCAGGCAAGCTTGTTTCACTTGAATCCTGACACTTTGCAGAAGTTATTGTGTCATGTTGGAAGCCAGCATGGGAGGAATCTGACCTATATATGAAGTGCCAATATTGTAGATTGATGATATATTCAGGCATCTCTTCACTTACTTGGGGGTTAGATTCTGGGGCCCCAAGTACATAAGCAAAACATGTGTAAGTGTGTGTGTGTGTGTGTGTGTGTGTGTGTATTATAATAATAAAAGGAAAGGGCTGAGAACCACATATGTCACCTTGAGCTCTTTGGAGGGACTGTGGAATCTAAAAGCAGTAAATAAGCAACTGTTTTCATGGATTGATTGATTTTTTAATACCTGAAAGCTATTTTGGGGAACTGGTATATAGAGTTAAATTATGTGGGGTATGTGTAGTATGATAGATATAATGTGTTGTTTTAATAAGATGCTGTTATCTGGATGCGGGTGGTGCTGTGGTCTAAACCACTGAGCCTCCTGGGCTTGCTGATCAGAAGGTCAGCGGTTCAAATCCACTCGACGGCAGTGAGCTCCCATTGCTCTGTCCCAGCTCCTGCCAACCTAGCAGTTCGAAAGCACGCCAATGCAAGTAGATAAATAGGTACCGCAGCAGCAGGAAGGTAAACGGCACTTCCTTGTGCTCTGGCTTCCATCACGGTGTTCTGTTGTGCCAGAAGTGGTTTAGTCATGCTGGCCACATGGAAAGCTGTCTGTGGACAAACACCGGCTCCCTCGGCCTGAAAGCGAGATGAGTGCTGCAACCCCATAGTTGCCTTTGACTGGACTTAACCGTCCAGGGGTCCTTTACCTTTTACCTTTACCTTGTATGAGCAGGGCAGGATAGAAATGTTTTAAATTAAAATAATCAAAAGGTAAAATGGAACCCTTTAAAGCCAGGATAGCCAATGTTTACTTCTGGGTGGCCACTGTCAGATTAGGCTACTGGACTAAAAGGGGCATTGGCTTGATCCAGTAGTCTCTTTTTATGAACTCCAACTCCCATCAGCCACTGCAAGTATGGTCAGGGATGATGGTGGCAGTCAAGGTCCAAAAACATCTGGAGGGCACGACTTTGGCTCCGCTGGCTTTGAAGAACCGAATCAAAAGGAGTCATTGAGACAAGGGTATTTCACTGGAATAGGAGGAGGAAACAGTGATTGGAGGCCATATAATGCTTTGAAGAATATTTATTAAGGAAACCCCCTCCCTTTCGACAGCAAAAGCAGCGAGACCGTGGAAGTGGAAGCAGATGTGTTTTGCCAAAGAAAGGTGATGTAATCTGCAGAAGAAACTTGGCTATCTCTAAAATACCAAAGTGCACAAGTGTCTGAGTTGGGAGCGAAAGCTCCGTAAAAAGAGAGAGGGAAAAGAAAGGGGTGTGGCTGCCATTTATCCAAGGGAGAGTGCCGTGTTTATGATCAAAATGGAACATGGAGTCGCTGAGCGTTTTGGTCACTGGTGGGAAGGAGATTTGAGACTACGGGTCATAAAGTCAAAGGAAATGTCTCTGGTGGAAGCACTCAGGGGCGGTCCAGGCACATGATCACCTCTGCACATGGCAAGCAGAGTTGCCAAATCGATGTTGCGAGACTTCTCTGACCAGTAAAGTCACATGATTTTGGCAGGAGGCTGTCAGCACGGGGGTCCGAAAAGGCAGAAAGCCTTAGAGCTGGACTGAGGAAGCCAAACAAAACACAGGAATGCAGAAAGCTGCCTTATAATGAGTCAGGTCCATCTAGCTCAGTATTCCTACTCTGACTGGCAGCAGGTCAGGTCCAGGGCTTCTCGCCCACCTCTACCTGGAGCAGCAGGGATTGAACCTGGGACCTTCTGCACACAGAGCAGATGTTCTACTGCTGAGCTAGGGCCATTCCCCCAATGAAATCTTTTCACTGTTGGCCTGTGTCAAAAAGCCAACAGTAAATCACACTCTTTGAAGTTGGAGTAACTCTTTATTAGCAAAACCACCACCTTCACAGACTTGGTTGAGTGTCAAGCCTAAGGAGCACAGCAGCTCATCTCTGGTAGGTCTCACCTCATGAATCAGTTGTTGAGACTGAAAGTCCTCAGCTCCCCATATTCATCTAAATCCCCTCTTCTCCAGGGCTGTTTCCAAACAATCTGAGACTGTGCCGACCTGCCGCTGCTCCGCCTGTTTCAGCCCTCTCATGGTTTTGGAAGACAGTGGGGTGGGGAGCTTGTCACAGCAGGGAGAGGAGACACCTGTGCTTCTTCACCAGCAGGATTCATCTCTGCTTCTTGGCCTTCCTCCTTCCCTGCTTCAGCTTCTGCCTCTGATTCTGGACTTCTCTCTGCCAGACTCCTCCTGCTCACTAAGCCTTGTTACCTCTTCAGCTTCTGACACCACCTCTTCCCAGTCTTCTCCCTCTGATCACTCATTGTCATCCCACCAACAATCTCCAGGCTCTGAGCCTTCTTCCCTTGGGGGCTCCCAAGCTGGTTCCTCCCACCATTCAACCAATCCAACTACATGGTTCCTCTGCATTCAACCAATCCAACTACCACAATCCCTGATGACTGCCCATGCTAGCTAGAGTTGTAGTCTACAATTTCTGGAAGGCATTGTGTTGGCGACGCCTGTTTTAATCCATGGGAAGATGTACAATATATGGCAACATGACAGGGCCAATCATGCCTGCAGATCATGCTTGGAAGTTGTGAAATAGGCTACAAAAGCCAATTGGGGGGGGGGGGATGCTATTCCAAAGTTGAACTAATGAAGGAAGAACACCAAAGAGGTTTGGCGGGACAACATTTAGTCAAGAGCTGGCCCTGGCTGAACTTGGATCTGGCTCCAGGAAGCATGAGATTGGGGTGGAGAAGGAAGATAAAAAGAGGAAAGAATTCTTCTTTGATCTACTCTCCTCCTCCTCCTCCTCCACAACATATTTTCATGGATCCACTACGCACATTGTTTTAAACTGAGGTCTCACACGGGAGCAGTAACATGTATCCAACACTGAGCTTTTAATGTGCTCCAGCTGTTTCTTCACAATATCCCAGAAAGCTCCCTGGTCAGGTGTGATCCTGAAAAGCCCTGCAACAAGACACATTCAGGAATGGGGGGGTTGTGCCTTAAAAGCGGACACGAAGCTTTATTTACTTATTTATTACGTTTATGGCACAACCTTTCCCCCAAAGGAGCCCAGGGCAGCAAACATTTCTTTTCGTAATAAAAAAATAGGTAATTAAGATAAAGTAAAAATGGATTTGAAATGTCTAAAACAAATAAAATATCTAAAACAGATGTAACTAAAAATCTTGTGTCCTGCATAGGCTGACTGAATCAGAAAAGTTTTCCAGTATTCCTAAGTCAGTAGGCATCTTCATCATTGTCTCCTCCTTCCTCCACTGAATGGCATGGAAACTAAAAAAACCCTCCATAAAGTGCCCCACAGATGTTCAAAAACTAAACCGATAAGGCCCACCTCCATGGCACGCTTTATATTTGAACATATTCCCACCTCCAGACAGATGTTTATTTTTATGTTTCCCTAGTCAATAAAACAATTCTGCCTCCAGCTTTACAACTGCAATAACCTGGTTGTTTTTCATTCCGTTTTGTTCCTCGAAATTAGGACAAATAGTACCCTCCACTTAAGAGCTGCATCCACAGTATATCTACAGTATATTTCATACCAACAAAGAGCTTTGTGACACCAGCTAACATATTTATTATGGCGTAATAAGCTGATCGCCGAAGAATTGATGCTTTTGAATTATGGTGCTGGAGAAGACTCTTGAGAGTCTGCAAGAAGATCAAACCTATCCATTCTGAAGGAAATCAGCCCTGAGTGCTCACTGGAAGCTGAGGCTCCAATACTTTGGCCACCTCATGAGAAGAGAAGACTCCCTGGAAAAGACCCTGATGTTGGGAAAGATTGAGGACCCAAGGAGAAGGGGACGACAGAGGACGAGATGGTTGGACAGTGTTCTCGAAGCTACGAACATGAGTTTGACCAAACTGCGGGAGGCAGTGGAAGACAGGAGTGCCTGGCTTGCTCTGGTCCATGGGGTCATGAAGAGTTGGACACGACTAAACAACAACAGCAACAATAAGCTTTTGTGGAATAGAGCCTACTTCATCAGATGCATGAAGCGTAATCCTCAGTTGTAGATATATGTACATGATGTCACAATTTAATAAGAGCTAGAAGGCATGCACGATAAGGCAATGACCCTTTAAAACAAGTGATAAAACAATCAAGTTGGTGATTGTTGCTGTTGGCATCTGTCTGTCTTGAGAGACATTGGAGTGCCCTTCCAGGGGTTGAAGTCAAACCGAGGGAGAATCACAGTACCTGCAAAGACCAGTAACCCATAAGTGCTGCCTCCCATATTATTTTTGCTGTGTTAGCAGCACCAAAGTGACCTCCCTGGGGCGCAAGCCTGGGCAGTATGTATGGAGGTCCTGGTATGCCAAGACAAGACCCCACACTCAGCTTCACTGATGTGGTCCAAAGGAAAGCAGAGCAATCATTTAGCACCAACTTGGTTGCTGGAGTTGCTGGAAGAGGTGTACAAGACCCTATTCTCTCCATCTTAGGGACTCCACTCCAGATTTGCATGAAGTTTACTCCTTAGCTTTCTCTTCTCCCAAAGATGTCCATCAAGGCAGTGGGCACAGATTTCTCCTCAGGGGGGTTTATTCCTGAAGCATTTGTCAAGCTTCAAGTTGACAATGCTGAGTTAATTAGAAGCAGTCATGGGAAAGAAAACCATTGTCTCTATTCAGACCCAAATGAACAGAGTCGAACCAAGTTGAGGAATCGTGGACTATGATTCAGTAGACTCTAGACCACAAAAACATATGCAATAATAAAATGTTAGTACTTTAGTTCCCAGCAGGGAAACGTGTGTGTGCTGCCAAACTGAGAACGACTGAACCGTCCACTCACTGAAGTATTGGATAGGGCCAGGGCCGGATTTAGGTTTGATGAGGCCCTAAGCTACTGAAGGTAATGGGGCCCTTTATATGTCCAGCTGTCCTTTGTCAACAACAAATTGTCGCTGTTTTGTGTGTGATGAATATATGCTATATGGTAATTTATGGACCTAATAGGTATCTAAAGCCATTTGCGCATGTTGCCATGCAACCAGTCCATGCAGAATGTAGGCACCCTATATATAGAAATGAGCAAACCAGTGATATTTTAGGGAGCAGGTAGGGCCCATTACTTACATCATAGGAGCCTACACAACACAAAACACTGTTGCTGTATGTAGGTTTTATTTTATTTTTTAATCTTATATTTTGGAAATGTGCATCCAGTTTTTTCCCCTTTAATTTTTTTTTCAGGGGGGGCAAGAGAGTGGGGCCCTAAGCTATAGCTTGTTTAGCTTATACACAAATCTGACACTGGATTGGGCCCTGGGCTCAAATTGTGGCGGGGGTGGGGGGGAATGCACATCTCTATTGTCCATGTTAGGAGCGAAACTGACATGCTTGTGTTCAGCTTGCTAGTACATTCTAGACACATATCTTTATTACAGCATGAGTGTGAACATGACCCAAGCTCTCTTTTCCGAATTCTCTCTGTGCATGCTCCGAGTGAACAGGCCCTTAGCTACAGATTAGTTAGCTGTTTGTACATGTGCGAAGTTAGCTGCTTCGTGCAAAGGCACAAAAACCACAACATGCCATTGCTGAATGGACAATTGCTGTTTCCTTTGCATTCTTTGATCTATTATTACTTAAAGCTGCAGACGTCATTGTCCATCTCCTGCACATCTGCTGCTTACGTTGGCCTTCATGAGTGCAAGCAGAGAGACCTATGTCCAGATCCCATAGACACGCTTGTAATGCTGGAGATAACGGGGGCTGATGTTTTCCAAGATAGGGCCGTTAGCAACAGAGGCACATCATGAGAATGATCTCAGCTGGAGTAATAAAACCAGAGCAAATCTGTTGTCCTCAATGTGTTCTCCTAACCCTTTCCTTCTTGGAAAGGATGCCGGTTCCCAGTATTTATTGAACAGCTGATCTGGATTCCCCCACTCCAAAAAGGCGCTGGGATGGAAGGGAAAGGATGGCTGCGATGGGAAGATGGAGGGCATGTTCAGACCATGCGCACATGTACACACACACCAATACAGCAACATGTTCTATGAGCTTGAATGGGGAGCACACACTTAACATGAACAGACAGCCCATGAAAGTCTCACCAGCTCAAGAGCACACCATCCACACCACTGAGTCATTCTACTCTCATCCCCGCCAACATTTCTCTGATGAAAATAGGGATGTCCTATTCCATAATAGGGGACGTGGGTGGCGCTGTGGGTTAAACCACTGAGCCAAGGGCTTGCTGATCGGAAGGTTGGCAGTTCGAATCCCCACAATGGGGTGAGCTCCTGTTGCTCGGTCCCTGCTCCTGCCAACCCAGCAGTTCGAAAGCACGTCAAAGTGCAAGTAGATAAATAGGTACTGCTCCGGCAGGAAGGTAAACGGCGTTTCCGTGCTCCGCTCTGGTTCGCCAGAAGCAGATTAGTCATGCTGGCCACATGACCCGGAAGCTGTCTGATGACAAAGGCTGGCTCCCTCAGCCAGTAAAGCAAGATGAGCGCCACAACCCCAGAGTCGTCCACAACTGGACCTAACGGTCAGGGGTCCCTTTACCTTTACTATTCCATAATAATAATAATCTTACTATTTATACCCTGCACATCTGATTGGGCTGCCCCAGCCACTCTGCGTGGCTTCCAACATATATAAAACCATAATAAAACATTAAACATTTTTTAAAAAGCATTCCCTATACAGGGCTGCCTTCAGACGGCTCATGGGTCAGATAACTCCATACCCTCCAGCATTTCTCTGACGAAAATAGGGATGTACTATGGAAAAGCGGTACAG